GTAAATATCATCAGCCATAAATCCATCACCAATTTCCCATCCTATTGTCTAAAGATGGGCAAAGATTAAAACATTTCCATGGAAATACCTTCAGGATATGCCCTTTGATATTCCAGTATTTGAGCTCACCAGTCTGTTAGAATCAAAACCAAATGGGACTTACTTGCTAAACTTGGTTGCTTCTAAAAATCTGTCCGTAGTTGAACTTGGAAACAGCTTAATGGGTCCCACATATCGGTATCTATGACTACTTTAGCCTCCAAATTGACAGCTTTCTGTCATATTTTGCTGTTGGAAAGGAGGGTAATAGTAATTGTAGTTTATCCATTTAGATTTCCTGAGCAACTGCAATTCTTAGCTGTAGACAAAAAAATACGTATCATAAGATCAGTAGAAGTTTGTGACTTTAGCTAAACAAAGTAAACTAACATAAGAAACCATGAGTACAAATGAATTTCAGCAGAAAGATAGACTATTCTGAGCTGTAGAAGAGAAATGGGAGCTGAGCAGTGCTTCATAGCCAAGCTTCGAAGAGGAAGTAAAGCTTTCCTCTGCTTTAAACAAAATAGGCAGAGCATGTACCATTATGAACTTCCTCCCTTTTAATCTGTGGCTGTACCACAAATTGTTTGACAAAACATGTATTTAAGATTTGATAACAATTTGTTTGCAAGATATTTTGTTTGTATTAAGTACTAAATAGTATGGAATTTCTGTATTCAAGGGTCTTCCTGCCTTGGTTATGATCAATGGAGGCAACTAAACCCACCTGCAAAGAGGGAGAGGAGTATGGTGGAAGACTGCTCTGACTTTAGAACTTGCTTCATTGTATAGTGCGCAGAAGTTTGAGTTTCCTTTAGCTTCTGGGCATGCCATGAACCTATTGTTTATTAATTTTCAGTGAACCTATTCTGTAAATAAGGAGGAAGGTGAAAATTTTAGTCTGTAAAGTGATGCTCAGGCATGAGGAAAACAGAAATCAAATTGCATAACAAACTTTCTCTTGCAATTTCCTAACTTTTAAGTTCCTCAGGCTTTTCAAGACAATGCAGTAGATTTATTTAAGCAATTTGGTAAATAGTTTCACTTATCTTGAGAGGAGGTTTAGAGAGCTTGCTTTATTTAGCATTATAATGAAATACAAGATCAATCTGTATTCAGGATTCAGGTCCAGGTGACCTGTTCTCTGGACCAGAGCAGGTTTATCATATTGTCTTGGAGCATAGCTAGAAATAATACTATGTGTCTTACTAAAGAAATAAACCATGCAGGATCTTTGGAATCAAAATCTACCCTTCAAACTAGAACAGTACTTCTAGAGCACTTTGTGATATCAGATAAGTAAAAAAGTCCTTAGATTCCCAATTGGAATTTCAACATTGGAGATGTCAACTGAAAATCCCTACCTCTTTAAGCACTTTGCTGTTGCCTACCAAAGAGTGATTTATAACAAAAATTGCTAAGTAGTAGTGGTGTTTCCTCCTTTTAGCATTTGTGTTGTTAAGAACCATGCTGCATAGTCATTTTGAAGTTGTTGTCCAGGGTTTTGTGGTTAGGGTGACATCTGAGTGAGGACAATTTTCCCAATGATTATATATATGACATGTATGGCTTGATCTTTGTCCCTTGTTTATTGAATGGATAAAATTATAAAATATTACAAAATTCCCAGTAAATTTACAGCCTTCTTTCAAAGGCTGTATTTGCTTAGTTGGAGAACCATGGTAATCTTTAGTGCACTTGTGATACTTGTAATATATTTTAGACATGTTTATCTAATCAAGATGAAAGATTTTGGTAAGGATTTTGGGCTTTATCCAGTGTTTATTGAAGTTTGCGGATATAATTAACATTATTACTGTTATTTTCAGTATGCAGCATCCAGGAGTTGTTACTGTTACTGTTGTTACTTTTTCTTTAACTGATTGAAATTCTTTTGATATCTGTAAGTAATGGTTGGAGATGCTCTCTACCTTTCAAATTCAGCTGAAATAAACATAACAACAGTGCCTTAAACATTACTTCCATATATTTGTTAGTGTAAATGAATTGAAGTACGCATACACATAGAATTGAAAATAACTCTTGACTCTTTCCAAACAAATGGCAAGTACAGCACAAGTATATTAGTCATCTGGCTTGACCTGGATATTCATTTTCCATTACTTGAAAGTGGTGTTTGAAATAATCTGCCTACTGTGAATTCAGAAGTCCATGAATATACTGAAGGATCGCTGCTGACTAGGCTGCAGTTTCTTGACAGTTGTGGTATATCACTCGTGGCTGCTGACAGAAACCTCAGTTACTAACATCTCGCAATAATTCAGGGCAGTGAGGGACACGATGCTGCTTTCATGCATATTCACTTTTGAGTAGCTAGCTCACATCAGCATGAAGGACTCAGACTTTGAAGCGTGTGATACACTCTTAGATTATTCAGGAGTAATAGTATGTTTATTACAAATAGTTTCTGGGATTCTTAGATTGGTCAGGCAAGTAAATCTTTCATGAAGATAGGACAAGGTCTTCTTTGGATCCTGTGCTTAGATTGCTGTTAAAATTAAAGTTCTTTTAAATCATGGAATAGCTGTAGTTGTTAAACATTTCCTAATTGCTTTACGCTGATGATTGCCAAACTGTGTTCATCATCCTCCTCATTGTAGGCTTCACCCTTTACTGAGCCAACTTTCAAAAAATATTCAGCTTCAGTGCTTGATGTTTCTTTTCAAGGTTTATAGCATTGTCAAGTGATTACAGTGAAGCCTTAGGAGCCTCCATATTCTTCCTGAAACAACTAAAATGGTGTACCTGCCCATGACAGGGGAGTTGGAACTACATGATCTTTAAGGTCCCTTCCAACCCAAACCATCCTATGATTCTATAAAATCCACAAATGTCTAAATCTAACAGTCTAAGGTTTGAACACTGACGCTAATGTGCTTGCACTATGCTTTGTTTGCTGTTTCTGATTTTGTCAGAAAAACAGATGTAGAATATATTTGTCTGATAGCTGAGATAATGTTGAAGCTGGAGCTTTCACAACCATCCTTTCTGACAGCAGCTTTTGCTATAAAGGTGCTGATCTTACATTTAGAAAAATCTGTGGATTTGCTTTCCTTGACTACATCTAAACTAATTTTTTGAGTTAAAAATGCTTGTGCTAAATTATACAATATAACTAAATAAGCAGGGGGTAAAGGATTAAAAAGTACAATTTCAAAGAAGAGTTTTTGCTAGAGTCTTTTCTATACAGTTACTCAGAAATGTGAGAAAACAGAGACTGTAGAATAAAAAAATAAACTGCAACTTCATAAAAATAATATTCTTAAAGTTAAAACAACATGATTTAGATATTGACAGATTTTCACTATAGAAATTAGACAAAACGTCCAATTTTTTCCCCTTCCCCCAAACACTCTTCTTGTCTTGTCCTTAGTTTCTCTTAGATTTCAAACTTAGTTTACTCATTGTTTAGGCCTCCTTTCAAAAAGTTTCCTTTGGATTTCTCCTAGTAGGGAATTCCTTCATCCTGTGTGTGTTTTTTAGATGACCTGATTTTTTCTTTTCTTTTTAAAAAAGAATCTGTTTTTTAACCGCTTCCAAGAATAAAGTGTAACTAACATTCAAATCCCAGCATGTTATTCAACTTGTTCATTATAGTTTCAAAACTGTTGGTTGTTGGAACAATCCCACTGCTCCTTCAGGTACTTCAAACTGAGTAGCCCTGGCCTTTTTTTTCACACTCAAAGAACCTCAAATGTTTGTTACTATATTAAAAATACTAAATGTATTCTATATATGACTTAATTGCTAATACAGAAAAAAAATATAAGGAATTACGTCTTCCTGAATTAGTGTGATGGATAAAAGTTGGTCTAAAATTTTTACTATTGTGTGCAATGTGTCAACTGATTTCAGTAGTCACAAGTAACGTGAAAGAAAATGGCACTGCAAGGACAAGACTTGTACAAAGAGTGCTAGGAGAATGTGCCCCAAGTTGAATCCTTTTATCGTTGTTTTTGGCCTTCTGCTTGCCTACTGGATGCTCAGAAAGTGATGCCCAAGTAGATTCACTGTGAAAGCTGTTTTCCAGCTCAGCACTAAATAAAACTAAATGAAACCCCAGTCGTTCAAAGACCCAACCAGTTCAAAGTCAAATTTTAAATTGCTATGTGTTGTTATAAAAAAAAGGGTGCTAATATTTTGACTAGCACAATGAATGATAATTTAAAAAAAATACCAAAAAAACCACCCCAAAACCCCCATACATCCTCACCTCCAAACAGTAAAGTAGCAGCAAGTATAGACATAGTAATGTTGGGAATAAAAGGATTTATACTATACACTATCACATTAATAAATTGCCTAGTACCTTACACTAAGCTATTTGCTTTACGTGCTTTCATACTACGAGCTGGCTTAATAGGCCTCTTTAAAATGTGTTCTTAATTGAGATATAGAGACACAAGTTTTCTGTTATGCAGGTCTTACTCTTTAGTACTCAGAACTGATGGTCACATACAGAGTGAGTTAAGCTTTATTTCCCCTTTGTCCAAATTTTCCTCCAGATTTTTTTTCCATGCAGAAGACATGACTGGGTAGTATTTGAAGATTTTTTTAATGCGTATCTCAGGATGCATTCTGTATGTTATGTACAAACTGGTCCTGAAGTACATGAGGTGTAAATCTGAGATGGCTTGGTCAACTGTGTATCTGTACAGTAAATCAGTGCTCAGTTGCATTGATTTTGCTGTATATTTGTGGGTTGTGTCAGTTCAGTGGGCTCAGTTCTTCCACATTAAAGGCAAAAACAATCTATGGTTCTACTTGAGCTACCAAATGTTTTGGTTATAAACCATGAAGATCACAATCTCCCAAACTGTGCCACCTATAACAATGCTGTAGATCTATCACTACAAATATTATGGTGACAGCAGTAGTGTTGTGACCATCCTGGGAGCTGCCAAAGCATTATGTTCCCTTGTCTTCTCATCCTGTGG